GCTCAGGGATTACGTCACAAGGAGCGTCGTGCGCAGTGAAATCAGGACATTTCCTCACTTTCTAAAAAAAACCCGGGACGCCCGGGGACAGGACGTGAAATACGGATATGTCCCGGGAAATACGGACGTTTGGTCACCCTAGTTTACATCAACAACAGCTGGTTTAAAAATGCTAGATCAGTCGCCAGCTTCTGCTCTCCTGACATAGAGTTTCTGACTATTAACTGCAGGCCGTTCTATCTACCCAGAGTGTCGTTAGCATCACTGCTGTTTATGTGCCCCCAAGTGCTAACACTAAAAAAGCCATGAAGACTTTAACCAGGCTATCTCTGAGCTCCAATCTGCACACACAGAGGGTGTTTTCATCATTGCTGGGGATTTTAACCAGGCTAACTTGAAGACTGTTCTCCCCCATTTTTACCAAGTGTGGACTTTGCAACTCGGGGTGAAAACACTTTAGACCTGGTTTACTCTGACATCAAATATGCATTCAGAGCAGCCCCCACCTTGGTTAATCAGATCACCTATCCATCATGCTTATCCCTGCATAAAGGCTCCGGCTGATCAGGGCTAAACCGACAGTTAAAGAGATCCGAGTTTGGTCTGAGGGCGCCATGAAGACACTCCAAGACTGTTTTGAATGCTCTGACTGGAACATCTTCAAGGCTGCAGCAACATATGGAAACTTGTTAAATATTGATGAGTATGTCATGACTGTGTCAGCCTACATCAACAAATGCATTGAGGAGGTCAGCATAACAAAGAACATCACCACCCGGGCCAACCAACCACCCTGGATAAATGGAGAGGTTCGGAAATCGCTAAAAGCACAGAACTCAGCTTTAAAGTCTGGTGATAAGGAGGCCCTAAGAACAGCGCATGCCAATTTAAACCGTGCCATCAGATCAGCGAAGCAGAAGCACAGCCAGAAGATCCAGGATCTTTTCCACGATGACAGCAACACCAGGAGGATGTGGAAAGACAATCAGATGATCACAGACTACAACACACCCTCCCCCCCGGTAGATACAGCAAACACTGATTTCCTTAATGAACTGAACTGAAGGTTTGAGGCACTAAACAGCACTCCAGCAGTGAAAGCTGTTCCACACCAGGGAGGGGAGGTACTAAACCTGGACGTAGCTGAAGTGAGGAAAACTCTGAGGAGAGTGAATCCAAGGAAGGCCTCAGGGTCTGATAACATACCTCGGCGGGTATATAAGGAGTGTGCAGATTAGCTGGCTGGTGTCCTCACAGACATTTTTAACACCTCGCTGGATCAATCCATAGTGCCATCATGCTTCAAGTCTGCCACCATTGAATCATTGAATGATTACCGGCCTGCCGCAGTGACAAATCATGATGAAGTGCTTCGAAAGGCTGGTTAAAGAAGACATTGTCTCCAGTCTGTCGCCAACATTCGACCTGTTCCAGTTTGCCTTCCAACGAAACCGCTCCACTGAGGACGCCATCTCTGCTGCTCTCCACCTGAGCCTGGCACACCTGGAGTAGAAGAACACCCATGTGCGGATGCTGTTCCAGATTGCAGACGACACCACGGTGGTGGGCCTCATCAGAGACGACAACGACCTGGACTACAGAGAGGAGGTGGAGCAGCTGGTGGACTGGTGCAAAGATAACAGCCTGATCCTGAATGTGGAGAAGATGAAGGAGATCATCTTGGACTTCAGGAAGAACCGTCCTAACCACGCTCCACTGCTCATCAACAGCTCAGCTGTAGAGGTGGTCAACAGCACCAAATTCCTGGGGGTGCACATCACAGACACCCTCACCTGGAATGTTAACACCACCTCACTGGTCAAAAGGGCACCAAAGCGCATGTACTTCTTGTGGAGGATGAGGAGAGCCCACCTGCCCCCACCCATCCTCCCCACCTTCTACAGAAGCACTATAGAGAGCGTTCTGACCAGCTGTCTCACTGTGTGGTGTGGAGGCTGCAGCGCCTCAGACTGGAAGGAAGTGAGGAGAATGGTGAGAACAGCAGAGAAGATCATCGGGGCTCCTCTTCCCTCCATAAAAGACATTTCATCCCAGCGCTGCGTGTCCTGAGCCCATAACACCATCAATGACCCCTCACACCCCCACCATGGACTCTTCTCCCTGCTGCCCTCTGGGAAGAGGCTTCAAAGCATCCGATGCAGGTCCAGCAGATTCCACAACAGTTTCTTCCCCACTGCCATTAGACTGCTGAATGTTGTGTAGAATGGGTTATTGTATTTTATTTTATTATATTTTATCATTATTTATATATATGTATTTAATTAAATTTTTAGAACTGTAAATTTACAGTCATTTTTACAATTTTTCAAGGCTGCACTTTTAAAAGATGAAATTATCCAGTGAGCTGTTTCCAAACGAAATTTCTTTTTGTTTTACACTTGTGTAAACAAAATGACAAATAATAAAATCTGTCTAGAACTATAGTCTAAGTTTGAAGTCTAAAAGAAGTTGTAGAGTTTATTCTGACCCCTTGTCTGTTTTCTATGCGCATTCTACAAGTTTAGAAAGTAAGGAGTTTCTGCTCTGCAGAAAAATTAAATCTCAATAAGTCTTTTTTTTTTAAATAAGTCAACTTTTTTCATGAATTCAGGAGAAAAGTGAGACACTTTGCCAATGGAACAAGATAATTTACATTTAAAATAAGAGAAAACAACTGCATCATCATATTTCAAGTGCATATTATATACTTATTTAATTTCAAGAATAAAAATATTAATTCAATTGGCAAATAATGTTATTTACCTGCTCAAATTGAGGCTAAATACACTTAATTTAAGTTTTTTTTTTTATTATTTCAAGATCGTTTTTGCATTGTGGGCCTTTGGGAGCAACAGGAAGCTTGATGGCAACCTGCTTCTAATCCAAATCCAGATCAAGGCGTCCAGTTCATGGCATAAACATCTATAATATGAACCACTTTAAAGAGGAGCAATCCTTTTAATCAAAGTCTGAGGGTTTACGGCTGAGTCCACAGTTATACAGAACATAACTCAGAGCTAGAGTTAATAACAAAAAAAAAAAAGGTCAGACAGGTTTAACGATAAACCTCTGGATTAGTTTCTCCATCGAACATAAATTTTAATTTTAAGCAAAATTTTTAAACTTCGAAATAAGGGAAATGCGATTTTGCAGTGATTTCATTTGGTATAAAGCAGATTAACCAAGCAGTGCTGTAACCAAGCAGTCTGTCATCATATGTCAATGTCCAAATAACGTCGTCACACATGCTGACATCTAGCAGTGACCACAGATCAGTCAAGGGGGAAAGTTTTAATGAATGAGTGGCTAGAGGGTGAGTTGTTCTTAGGTTAACATGTCACTCAGAGATGGTAATTTTGCTTTTTTTCCAGCTTTTATTGTCATTTCACTGTCACTGCTCCCCGGGCTGCCATTTTGCGGCGCCCGGGGAGCAGTGTGGGATTAAGGGTCTTTGCTCAGGGAATAAGAGTGGCAGTCTGTGGGAGAGGGGCTCGAACTCAGAACCTCAGGATTCCAAGCTCTATGCCATAACCACTAGGCTGCCACTCCCATGCTTTCCGCAATGTTTACTCGTGCAATAGGAACATCCGCAGATAGCGGAAACAGCCATAAAAAGTAAAAACCCACGTCAAGAATTTTAGGGAGTTTTGTCGAATTTTAATGATGTCAAACATCAGCAACCATTTTTTTTTTTTTTGCATGCCTGTTTAAATTCTCAGTCATCCAGGTCTTTACAATCACAAAACAGGCTTAAATAGCAGGGAACCGACTTCCACTCAGTTTTTCTAAAGACACCTATCAGGGAGTCTTTGTCAAAGAGGTTATTCCTGACAGTATTATAGAAGTCAAATGCCTCCAATAATGTCCCCATATGGAGCAGAAAATACAGCAAATTTAAACTTTCTAAATTCTAATTCTAAACTCTAATCATGATTAAGGTTTTATGTTTTATAAAATGGCCACTGAAAGAAAAAAACGGCAAAGAAAATGAATCACCATTCATGCCTGTAATGTCCTTAATTGTCTGATTGCTCACTTTCCTACAGCATGTCATACTCGTTCTACTCACCTTCTTCAGCGAGTTTGGGTCTGGACTGAATCCGGAGGGAACTTCAAGCTTCACAACCACCACGCCGGTAGAGCTCCGGCTTCCCTTGTACCTATCAGGAGCAGAAGAAGATGGGCTGATTATTTGGAATGATGGTGTTGTTGGTGCTGCCATCTTTTGATAAAATGTTGAAACTTCTTTTGGTCAAACATCGGATCCCAGAATTTAGATCAAATCAACAGAACTCAGTACATGTTGGTGTTTCAGACTCAAAGACACACGGCCATTTAAAGACTGAGTCTAAGGTCTAAGCGTTTATATTTAAAATCTAAAACAAGGCTTTTTATCTAATGTAACAAACTGAGTTTGAATGCAGACAGGAATGTTTTACCAGATATGAGTATTTGCCAGCAGGCTCCTGTGTGTAAATCCTGGGTTCTTCTCTGCACAATAAATAATTTTATTAAACCAGCTCCCCTTTTTGTTAATGCTCTTCTCTTCTTTTCCCTTCAGCACAGTCAGGGATGCAGATTCTTTGGGTTTCCTGTAACCAAACTATGTTGCATTTATTCTATCTCATCTAAGAAAACTGTTCTGGTTTTTCTTTTTGTGAGGCTGGTCTTTCCTTCATTCTTCAGTCCAATCTGAAGTTCAAATCTTTTTTTGATTCAGAATTGTAAAGGTTTTTTTTCAGAGTGAGTATTTTTGCTTCTATTAGCCTATCTATTTGCTTTCTGTGTTTCCTAATTGTGGATTAATAAAACGATCATTCTTCTATTAACGCCTCTGGGTAACCTGTTTACTAGTCATTGTGTTTGAATCTATGCGGCCTCCATCTGTCTGCATCCACATGGTTTCTTCAGCTACTCTAGGCGTGTGGTTAGATGATGGATCCGGTTTGTTTGCTTACGAGGACTTAAGCTTCAGTGTGATTAAGCGTTCTTCACAGCATTTTTGCACCACCACTTCCACCTCCACGCTGAAACTGCAGACCGTCGTCGAAGGAGCGACGCCGTAAACAGAGGTAATCTGGAAACCAGGAGGAAAAAAAGTTTTTAACAATCCAGTTAATCTCTTTCGATGCACTTTTTACGTCATCCAAGCCTTCCAGACACAGACCTGCACTGCAGTGCATGAGGAGCCCTCGGCCTTCAGCTGGTAGTGTCCTCCTGGGTTTTGCAGCTCCATCTTCTGGTAGATCAGTTTGTTTTCCTCATTCACATGGAAGGACAGATGGTCTGCACTGGAAGTTACCGTTACTGAGGTGGAACCATAATGCTTTGACCCAAAAGAGCTGTACAACGTAATAGCCTTAAAAGCCAGGCTGAAGGCCTGGAACAGGAAAAATCATAGATTAGGAACAAACAATGGATTTGATTCTTTTTGTGAGCATTTGCAGCGAAGAAAGGCTTTGCTACTTTGTAACAACAGACAATACCTTAAAGTAGTGGGAGCCACAGTGGTGAAACTGCACATGAAACAGCCATTTGACGATGCTGAAGGAGCAGGAAAGCTCTTCCCCAGAGTGGGAGGAAGACAGTTTGGCCAGAAGTATGTAAGAAGTGATCTCCACAGACAGAGAAGACACTTTGTCGTTTGGCGTCGGAAGCCAGTAAAGGAATTCCCCTGAACGAGGATGCAGAGATGTTAGTGATATAGGCGCGGGCCTCAAAGGGTGGGGCATCCTAGATGTTCATCATGAGGCCGACTTACCCTCCTTGATGGCGATTGAGTCGAGGTGGTGCATAAGCTTACTGCTGGCTCCCCAGTCTTTGGCCAACGTCAGGCAGTAAACCAGCAGAGCTTTGGCGTAGACGCTGCTGTGTTCATCAATGTTCTGCTTCAGATTGGTCAAACTCTTCTGCACCAAAGGATTCTTAACAGAGGACAGAAAACATGATGAGGAATTATTTTCTTACTGTACTGGACCAAAATGGCCGCCAGCCTCTCTTCTTTCCATGGAAGGTATTGTGGAAGATTTTCAAGAACGTTTTAAAAGACCCGCCCTCTCCACCTAACAATAAGAAAAAGCGCAACCCTGTGCCAGCTCCTGAGAAAGAACGGCTATTGAACTCATGCAAGAGTGTGCACGGGCCTATTACTCCTGGTGCACGCTCTGTTTAAAAGTTGCTATTCTCATAGCTCATACAAGCTCACTGTGTCCGAATGTCCGCCCTAACCCATAAATCCCTCAATCACTGGATAGAGCGGGGACTTTATAGCAAACTCAGTTAACTGACCGTTCAGACAGATGATCACTGCTGTTTGCTCCCCGTTAGTAACATAACTCCTCCTCCACTACGCGGCGCCTGTGTCATCTTTATTATTAGTCGCCACTGTGGAGTGGCGACAGCGGGCTGTAGTGACAGCAAATTCCATAATGCTTTGCAAGGAGAGCTCTCTGTGCAAAGCATTCTGGGATATATCTGCCTCTTCTGGCCTTTCTTTTCTTCTCATACACCTCGTAGACACTTTTTCTCTTACAACCCTCAGCCATTTTCAAAAAACCACGGAGAGAAAGGTGAGCTTCAATGACTGTCTAAAACTGTAGCTCACCACAGGTGTACGCCTGAAAGTGCGCATGCGCACAAAAAGATTGCTAACATGACAAGCATATAAGGGACGGCCTTATGTAAACATATTACCAGAATGATTGACAATAAGGAGGACCACTTATTTAGATGATTGAACCGGAAATAAAAGATCATCCTCTAATCTTTGAACCCATTTTAACCAGCAGAAGGAAATGTTTGTATTTCTTATTAATTCTGTAAAGTTCTAATTATTCTGTATTAAGCTGGTTAAATGAAAAATAACAAAAAGCAAAGCAAGGGGAAAAATCTTAAATGTATCTGTGCTCCAACCTCAGTAAGTAAAAACTAGAGATGGTGACAACGTTGGACAGATCATGTTTCAGTTAAGAGCTTTGTTTTTAGACATTTGGGGACAAACATATTAATTGGATTATATTCAGTTGGCCTGAGTTGGGTAGGTTAATTACTTTTAGAGAGTTTCAAAATAATCGGAATGACTAAAACATGGAAAGAAGAAAGATGAATTTCGACTACTATTTGGCTAGCTCTTGTAGCCATGTTTGTACGTAAGCTCCAGGTGTCGGCGCTGTTCATTCACAGTCAAAAGGTTCTGGGATTGAATCCTTCTCTGCAGAGCCTGCAAGCGAGGCTGCAGTTTATTTCTTCAAACACACTCTGCTTTAAAAAAAAAACTGCTCATGGTTTGCCTACATGAACATTGGGTTTGTGTTCCTGGTTGTTTATCTTATGTTTTGGCTCTGTGACAGATTAGGGACAGGTTCAGGACCAATATTTCCTGTTTGACTGCAAATATAAGCCACCTACCCACACTGAGATCCTCATCAGGTCATTTAAAAAACAACATGAGATCAAAATAAGAAAAACATGGGCTTCAATATACAACAGTATATTATCTGCAAATAGATGTAGTTTGAGTTGATTTGGGCCTGGAGTTCTGAGGTTATATGATCAGGTGTCTTTTTAGTGCAAACTAGAGAAAAAAGTGAATACCCCCACATTACATTTCATTTAAATCTATAATCCCTCATTATTAGGTATTCCTATTAAAATTGGGGTAATGAGTCAGCTTACAAAACCATTGTTTCAAAAGTGTAATCGAAAAATGTATTTGGTTTACTTACATGTACAGGTATGTTCATTTCAAGTAAGGCAATAGTAACATGAGCACAGACGATCACTTCTTTGGACCCAGCATCCTGCAAAGACAGAACCGCACGGAGTTTAACTGCTGTGTTACGATTCTAAACCAGGATCCATACAAAACAAGATCTTTAAGATCCACCGGAAAACAAATTTAAAAAGTAATTTTTTCTTAAAAAAGTGAATTTGTTCTTGATTTGAGGAGGTAAGTGAGCCACTTTGCCAATGGAATAAGGCAATTTATGTTTAAAATAAGAAAAAACAATTGCATTGTCTTATTTCATGTGTATATTATCAATTATCATATTTTAAGAGTAAAAATACTCATTCCATTGGCAAATCTTCTTATTTAGCTACTAAAATTAAGGGTTAATACACTTAATTTAAGGAATGTTGACTTATTTCTAGACCGTTTTTTGCAGTAAGGTTACCGGGAATCTTTTGGCAAAGTTTTTTCCGAACACTTTAAAACAGCCATCTTTTTGAAGGTGACATTCCAGCCACTTCCTGGCTCCAACTATGATCCTCGGGTCAATGTAGATCAATTTGCTGGCTTTGTGGAATACTTTCATCACCCAAGCAGTGAACCTACAGATGAGAAAAGCAAAGTCAGAAGATCTCAAACAAACAACAGATGCAACAGAATGTTATTTAGCAGTGGTGTCAAAAGTACACACATCTGCTACTTAAGTAGAAGTATAGATACTGCAGTTAAAAAACACTCTAGTAAAAGTTGAAGTATCAACTTGACCTCTTTACTCAAGTAAAAGTGAAAAAGTATGTGCTCCAAAAATTACTTAAAGTATTAAAGTATAAAGTTACCTTTAATAAAAACAGCCAGATGCCACTATATGAACTGAAAGCTCAACTTTTTGACAATTTCAAAAAAGTTCTTTGAGATAGGGCCAAGGATGAGGGAGGTCTTTTTGGTCTCCGTCTCCCGATTCGCTCTCGCCTATGTCCGACCTTTCAGACATTTTAACACGCTACAGTCCGACATTGTAGCATGGCATATACAATTCATGTTTGCAGTTTGAAGAACACCTGCTCGCTTCTGATGATGTCCTTTACCAATGAGTGTTTGCGTTATATGACTCATCAAATTACAATAGTTTTCACTAGATGTGGATGGCGCACATGATGTGAAATAAATATTTATAAACATTAAACTGAAGTCAAGAGTAACGAGTAACATTTGTTTTATAAATGTAAGGAAAAGAAAGTAGAGATACTTGTGTGAAAATGTAATGAGTAGAATTCAGAAATAAAGTATACATACCTAAAAAGTGTACTTAAGTATAGTAACGAAGTATTTGTCCTTCGGCACTGGACACCTCTGTTATTTATTTAGTATAGAAACTGGCTAGAATGTTTAAACTTTACCTCATTTTGTTCAGATGTCTCCTATTCAGAACTAGATGAACTTTTACCATCTATCTCTGAGCTAATTCCTCCTAACTTCAAGAAAGAAGGTTAGTCCTATTCTGGAAACTTCAAAAATGGTGAAATGTAAATAGCAAAGCTTAACTCAAATAAAACACTCTGGGTTATCTTGGTAGAAACCATAAGGACACAAATACAATCTCATAAACCTTGAGGTGAAGTGCAATGGAGACGCAAGTTACAAACATCTTTAAATGTTTGGGTTTCATCATCTAAAGAAACCATTTTCAAACCTATTTATCATGTTTTTATTCCTCTAATCATTGTGCATGTTAGCAGGGCTGTGTGGACCTCTGGAAGGTCAGTCTCCAATCAGTCTGCCAGATTAATAAAAATTGCAACGATAACCAACATTAACATGCAACTGGAGGACAGGCACGTGGATATTTTACACATTCTGGGTCTTATCGGTTATGTCCTTACCAGGTGTCCACCTCGCCAGAGACGGATGTGCTGAAGGCGTACGCTTTATTCATGCAGGCCAGCTGATTCTGGTAGGCTGCAGGAGAACAGAAATAAATGACTCCCCCAAATAATCGCAGAGAAGCAGAAAAGACCAGCAGGCTGCACTCGAATCATTCAAGGCTCCATCTAAAATAATTAACTGGAATAATTTTCCCTCTTTCTCCCTTTGGTGGGTCAGACTTGCCTTGAGTCAGGAGCTTGAGCCCTTTGGTCTCAATTTCGTTGCTCAGCTGGTGGGTGCTTTGCAAGTAATGCAAGAGGTTAGCATAGATCTCCATGTAGGCTATGTTCTGCTCCCCGCAACCATTTAGGAGATGTTCCTGATTGTGAAGGTTGTGCAGAAGCCAGCCGAGGATGTGCCCTAAGCAAAAGCAGACACAGAGAGGCTGAGACCGGTGTAACTTTTCATCTCAGATGAGCCTTTTTGGAAGTCTTCCCAGTTATTGGCCTTAAATAACTTCATCAGTTTACCTGAAACGGAGACGTGAGCGCTCAGACTTCCACCAATCACAGAGTTGGGGATGTCAATCTCCACCTCTTTATTAACATAATGTCCTGCAAAAAGAACAAAAAACACCTTAATTATAAAACTTACACTATTTTATTTACAACTAAGTACAAAATTAACATCAGGAAGCATGAAGATGAGCAAATGCAAGAAAACTATCTGGTTCGGCTGAGTTTAGACACCTAATTTTTTCCTAGATGTGACTGAAAACTGTTTTTATGGAGTTAATTGTTTTTCTATCAAAGAGCTCTGTTTTATCAATGAAGGTAGCTCTGTTGTTTTCTCATCTTTTTACCATTTTTTCATACTTAATTTTAACATTTCTTTGCAGGACTTACATCTTAATTATTTTTTTAAATTGCAGTCTTTCTAAATTGTGTTTTAAATATCAAATTCTCTTCACTTCCATCCCAGTATGAAAGCTCGCCTTTGACCCTTAAATTGACCAATGAAAACATTGTTGCTAATATCCATGAAGACCAACAGAATCTTACTCCAGAAGGAAGCCCGCCCCCAGAGGTCAAGAGAATGTGATCAGTAAAAGACTATTTTTAAAACTCATTCCGTAAAAAAGAAATTTGAACCAAAAATATAATATATAAAAATCTTTTTGAAAAAATTAATTATGAAAAACCTTTGAAAAATTGTATGGAAAAGAAAAAAATCTGAGAAAACAGCAATGGTTCTACTTATGTCACTTATGGTAATGCTAATTAGTGGTCCTTTTTACGTTTAATACACTTTAAAACATTCAATTGTATATGTGCTCGCTTGCAACAAGAATGGAACAAATTTTACTCCATAAATTTTTCACAAATGTAATTGCTCTGGTTATTAGTGACTTAATCAGAAAATGGGTTGAGCTGTCAGTTTTATTTTCATTTTGAGGGCATCTTGCCTTCGGAAGTAAGAGAAACTTGATCAGGGCTCCACAGAATCTGACCTGAGATAGCGGAATATTTGCTAACCAGTAAATACTGGGATATCCGAGTATTGCATCATGTAAATGCTGTACCAGGATCAGGAATATAGAGTATGTGTTGTAAATATGCCTTCATTGTTGGATTTCTTTTCCTCCATCAACCAAATTATTGTTATGAATGAAACAAATGTGATCACAAACTTCTATCATTTGGTTTCCCACAGGTCCCATTCTATACCCACCTTTTGGACAAAGCAGCCAGCTGGTTGTCTTTATCACCTCCTGTCCTCCAGCCTGAGGAGGAGATGAAGGACAGGAAATCTACAGTCAGTCCAAGTGTCAGCTTCATCAAGGAAACTTCATTTAATCACATTTGTTGTTTTTTTCCAATGTTACATGTCTTTTTCTGCAGACATCTCATGTTGACACCGACCTTTACTTCCAGAGATCTTGTAACAACAACACTGGCGGCATTTTCTGGCACTGTCACATGCTGATGGCAACAGGTCGCCTTGGAAGACAACGGCTCAGCTTTCAGGGTGACCGAGATCGTCCCTGAAAGAAAGATCAGCTCCGATTTAATCTTAGGAGAGCGGAGAGATAGCGGAGAATTATCACAAGTAATGAAGGACGAATCGAACTGGAATTAAAAGTCTTTTCCTCACCGGTGTGTTTTGGAGTCATGGTCCATTCAAGGATCTTAAAGTCGTTGCCGCACAAGCACAGTGTAGACAGCTCATCAGACTTGGCTATGAGGGTGTAATCTGTGGATACTTCTGCAGTCACTTTGACCTGTTCAGAGGTGAGATTAACTTTTTAAAAAGGATTCCTAAGAAGAACAGCTCTAGAAGTTGAGCCATGCAGAGGAATATGACAGCGATATACTCGACTCCCTGTTTAAGCTTCAGACGAGGCTCTTTTCTGAGGCCAGGAGGGAGTTAACTGAGTATTTCAGGCAAACAGCAGATAAAAGACTTCAGAAAAGTGATGCAGAAACCTAAAATCCCTTTGATCAAACATTTTACTGGTTCATTTTACCTTGAGCATAAGGAGTGAAATTTGTTCCATTATTGTTGTATGGAAGGACATTGGCAATTTGAAAAATAAAATGCAATCCAGAAATGAAACTTTAAAACACATCTTAGTTATTAAAAATGCTTTGATAGTTAATTTGCATTTTTCTTAATTTTATTTTTGCAAATCATTTTTTGTATATATATCTTATCTTTTTCGGATTTAATGTTTTTCAGACATCTTCTTCAGAATGAGTTTTAAGAATTGCATTCTTTTGGAATTGCATCTCACATTCTCTTCTATTCTGGGGGCGGGCTCTCCTCTAGAGCTAAGAGTCAAGATGCATTTCTATTGGTCTGCAGGGAGATTAGCAACGTTTGAAAAGTATGCAATTTGTAAAAAAAAGAAGAAAAAAAAAGACGAATAAAAAAATGTATATATATTTAAATATATAAAATTTGATTTAGAATTTTTTTTTAAATACATTGGCAAAAATGAAATTGTGGAAGCAACTTTTTTTAGCAATTACTTTGAAAACCTTTTTCTATAAAAATGTTTTTGTTTATATTTAAACTTTCATTTCTGGATTTCAATTTTGTCAAATTTATATCTGTAAAAGATCTTCTTTGGTTGCAACAATAATGGAATAAAATGGATCCTTTTTAAATAGACGGAGCTGCATGAAACCAGGAAATATCTAACTCACTGCTATAGCTGTTAACTAAAGAACCTTACACTGAAAAAAATAATGCAGCCGTCATTTACTTAATCATATTTAGTTACTTTAACATAGTGCATTATTTATTTTTTTAGTGTATTATGCATTGTTCAATCAATTTAATCTCGTTAATAATTAATAGGCCAAAATCCATTTCAGTGTCTTCCTTTTAAATGACATTCCCCTTTTTTGGGTGAAACCCTGGATTTTATCTGGTTCTATGCTCAGTAAAGTTCACTGCTGTCTTCTCCATCCCGCAGCTATCAGTCTACTTCATGTTAAATAATCTTTTTACCATGAGAGGGACGTTCTGCTTGTTTATGATGATGGCATTCAGCTTCAGGCTCTCGCCTTGGATCATGGAGTCAGGAAGCCTGAAATCCAGAATGTACTTTGGAAGGATGTTGAGATCTTTAGGAGGACTCAAACCGAATGCGTGAGGATTAACACAGAAGACACTTGCTGTCCAGGAGGTGATGGAATTTGGGACGGTGAGGGACAGACAGGATTCCATATTATCTCTGAAACATTAAGAACAACACACACTTTATGTCAGCTGGTAAAATCTAAGCATTATTAGGTGTAAAACCGATGCAGGGATTATCTACATTTATTTCTGTACATTTCCTCAGACATCATGGACCCTCCTTATTCATTTTTTATTCTACAGCTCACCCAAGATTGATCAGATCAAACAGCCAAGTCTGGCCTGAAGGCTCATAGTCCGGCTCAAACTCCTCATCTTTGCAGCTGTAGGAAAGCCTTCCAGGAGCGGGAAGTTCCATGTCCTTTATTTCTGGTTCCTTGGGATGGATGTATCTTCCTAACAAAGCTGGAGAATTTAACATAAGGTTACTTTTCCAAGTACTGAGCCTTATCGCCAGACACGAGGTGTTCTAAACCAGTTTATGCATGGCAAAATAAAATGGTTTAAAAAAAACACCTTGCTTGTATTTTATCCCTCCCAGTTTGAGGCATGTGGGTCTCTTGATGTGCCTGTTTGTTAACACTTGCAGTCCTTTTTCCTGGATTTAAAACAGGCGAGCATCAATAATCACAATCAAAACATCAAGAAATATCATAAACAAGGCGGATGAAAAGAAATCTGTGGTTTTTCCTCCATACGTTGAAAACGGTTTGTGCATCTGCTCCATCCTGGTTGGTAGACACAGCATAATAACTCCTTGGAAGCACCTCCACGCAGTCTGAATGATCCTGAAGCTCAGGAGGAACGGGAGAGCCTTTTATCTCTGGTAGAATAGCAAATATCTGAAGAAGAAGGAAAAAAAATAAAACAAATGTCAAAATTTATTTCGTCAAAATCTATAACAGTTTATAAAACGTTAAATTTTTCTTCTTTTTAAAGTTTTAAAACGAGTTTTTCTATCCAACTATTCTAACAAAGTCTTACTTTTTACTTTTTAATCAAACCAGAAAGTTCCTATTAAGGTTTAAAAAAAATAAAAACCTTTGCTTCAAAAGAGTGATCTCAATTTAATTTCATTGCAAACCAACTGTGGTTGGTTTGCAATGAAATACACACACACACACACACACACACACACACACACACGCATATAGGGGTGTGTTTGTGTATGTTTTAAAAAAATACATAAGAATGGAAAGTATGTAAGATACTGGCTGCCCACCTGTTCTTTGCTCAGAGTCTTTCCATCTCTCTTCGTGAGCGCATCTATGATTTTTACTCCACATACTGAATGTTGGTTGGCCTTAACGCAAAACTCAACGTTCTGATCATGGGTGACTGGCGATGGATGAAACTTTGGATGCACCTACAGAAAAACCAAAATGCAGTCGATTTAGCAGCTTTCAAACACACCAGGCATTAAATACTGAGGTTAAAAAAGCCACCAACCGAATTCTCAAAGCAGTGCTCGGTGTCAAAGCTTTCGCTGTGGGCGAGAACTCTCACACAATCCAGGATGGTGTACACGACAATGTGGATTTTAGGCGCGTATTGTGGCTTCACTCTAAAAGTGATTGTAAAAGTGCCCTGAATCACTAAAAAAGACAAAAAGAGCATATAATGGGTCATCTAGGAAGCATTTCTCATCGTTAGAGTGGCAGGCCTGCACTTCCATACCTCCTGAGCTGTAGGTTAGCTCCTCTTCGCCTTCGTGAACAATTTCACCTCTGGATAGTACCTGCAGAGTTTGACACAAGTTTTCAGCTTTGAATAAAGCACTGGGGTATGTTCGTAATGTAAAGACCCCAAGCTAAAGTACTTTATGATCTCAGGGCAAACAGCTACGTGAAAGAATAGACTCAAGAATATACTTTTTAAAAATTCACTAATAACATGTTCATGGTTGTTAATGAAGCTAACAAGAACCAGGCCAGAATGCAGGAGGTCACAGCAGAGAGAGAAAGTTCTCAAGCAGCACTACTGGCATTTTCTGGCATTTAGGCGATTCTTTCAGGAAGGTGTGAGAACTCATTAGAACTGCCTGGTGTGGTTTCCACAACAGGAGCAGATTTTCAATTCAATTCAGTTTATTTATATAGCGCCAAATTCACAACACAAGTCATCTCAAGGCACTTTACAGTTCAACCAGATCATACAGTCAAATTGATACAAAGTTTTCTATCTAAGGAAAACCAGTTGATTGCATTGACTCATTGACTCAAATACAATCCCTCACACTAAGCATGCTTGTAGCGACAGTGGAGAGGAAAAACTCCCTTTTAACTGGAAGAAACCTCCAGCAGAACCAGGCTCAGTGTGAGCGGCCATCTGCTGAGGCCGACTGGGGTTCAAGGAGACAGAAGCAGAGATACAAAAAGCAGCTGTAAAAGGCGGCCCCGTCCAGGAAACATACAGCCAGGCAGACGAGCTCCGAGCCAGCTCTCATGCCAGAGGACGAAGAGAGCACATCCACTCACATTTTATAACCTCTAAAAGAAGCAGAGAGGGTGCCTCTTGTTCGCCTAAAAAGTCCGACCCATTGGGAGCAATGTGCTCTGGCACCTATAGGCCACAGGCCAAACATCCTTTTCTCTATCCTATTCAGTACAGAAATTAGGTGTTTCAGCAATTGATGGCTACCACAAATACATTGAGTATCATTGTCTGCTTCTGTCTCCTTGAACCCCAGTCGGCCTCGACAGATGGCCGCTCACACTGAGCCTGGTTCTGCTGGAGGTTTCTCCCTGTTAAAAGTGAGTTTTTCCTCTCCACTGTCGCTTCATGCATGCTTAGTTTAAGGGATTGCCTTCGAGTCAATGAGTCAATGCAATCAATCGGTTTTCCTTAGAAAACTTTGAATGAATTTGACTGGATGATATGGTTGAATTGTCTCTGTAAAATGCCTTGATATTACATGTGTTATGAATTAGTGCCATATAAATAGAATGAATTGAATTGAATTTATTTTGCTCAGGGTCAAAATCTGTGCTATTATAACCAAATTCAAAATTAATGAATGAAAAGACACCAAATAGGGGATTTCAAGATGGTTTTCCAAAACATTTTGTTTTCAACCCTGCAATATATGTGCCTCCAAAATACATCTCAAAATAAATAAACGTGAAAGTGAGGTAGGTACCATGAAATAAATAGATGCTACTTTTTTTTTTTTTATCTAAAACACAATTAAAATAACTGGCATACTATGAAATTCTAAAATGTATTGTCACATCAAATCATTTAAAATACATGTAAAATGATCATTGAAACAACTAATTTTTCTTTTTAAAATATTTTCATTTAAAGAGTGAAATGGTTGAATGAGTTTTTGGGCCAGTCTGTGTCCGGCTTATTTTTAAGGTCACACACTGAAATGTTTAGGAACCATCAAAAAGTATTTTGTGGCAATATCCCTATTTAATAATGTCTAACTGAAAATTATTTTTGGCATCAAAAGCTCAAAGTTCATTAAAAAAATTACTGTATAAAGCACAGTATCGTATTAGATTGGGATCTATGTGAAGACTGCCAGAAAAAGGGATATTCAAAATGAAAAGAAGTGTGAGCAACAATTTTTTTTTTACATTACCTTTAATATTTATGTCAAAAATCTGTCAAAATGCCTATCTGCAGAGAAAGTTAACGTGAAAAAATTGTTCTTGAATGATTTTGTTTACAGAATGAGATGGAAGCTGGCAGGAGAAAAAATGTGAACCTACAGAGCAAACTGAAGCCTGTGTTGAAACTAAAGGTGTATGAAAAAAATAGATTCTGTCTATCTATGTCTCTTCTATGGCAATATTTCATTAGACATTATTTGTATTACTAGACAATACTGTAAGATGGATCTTAAATGTAAAAAGAGTTTAAAAGAAAACTTTTATTTCGTCATCTTGTTTTTATATGAGTATTAAACCTCCAGCCACTAGTTGGCAGCGCACCACCCAAAAGGTGCTCTGCATCCGCAGAGCCACCAGCTTTTTAATTAATTAACAAAACATAAAATCACATCTTATCATCTATGTTAATGTATTGGGAATTTATCTGGATAAATTGTATCATGATAAAGTATCATGATACGTTTTAAAGTGTTTGCTAATTTACAGCCCTTGTTTAAACACGTCTGCTTGCGTTCAGGGAGAGATAAATTGTCTCCTCTTAAAACTACTCATTTTTTCAAAAGAGTTTGCTTTCTAAAACTGAAAAATTGAAAGTTACCCACCAGATAAATTATTTTGATGTTCTCTGAAATTTGTTGACTTAGACTGTACTGGACAGTAAAATCTTCCATGCTGGAGCACACAAGTTTCCGTTCAATTGGGTGAACCTTGAGAAACCCGCAGGTTTCAGAACCAGGACCAGGCACATCCACTTTGACCTTTGCAACTTCATAGTAAGCACCTACATGTTGGTCAGGCTCCAGCGTGTCTAGGCTGCTCGCCTGTTTGGACAGAGAAAAAAAAAAAAAGAAACATGAGAAGCAAAACAAAAGGAGAGAAAGTGATAAACACTGAAGGGAAAAATCCAGGGAAACCATCTTGTTTTAGCTGTTTGAAGCTCCTTGGTACTCACAAAGAGATGGATTGGCCCTATTTGTTTCTCAGTGGGAAGAGCGAAGTATGCAATTCCATGTTCATCCGTTGTGAGAGTCTGCACAATACACGGTGCCCCGTGTTTTAGCTCGAACAAATATACTTTCAGGTTAGGGACGGGATTGCCGTGGACGTCCAAAGCCCGGACCTGGGTGTGAAATAAAGCAGTGAGACCTGGAATCAAACAACCTTTTAGCAGTCTCCTCTGGTGCTGCTGGCCCTAAACTTACTTGTCCCTCTAAATCTGTGTCTCGAGAGTAGACCGGGGGAACATTCTGGAAAGACAACTTTCCAATGACGTAGCTTATTCGAATCCTCTCCCACTGTGTGTGAGAAAGACCTGAAGAACAGAAACCGTCCATGTAAGAACACCCACCTAATGCAGCAATGGTTTTCATTCAGGGGTGGAGGGCTCTTACATGTCTCTTTGTCCTTAAGGGTGACCTTCACATCCAGCACATCCAGCAGATGCTTAGTGTCAGGTTTGAGGAAATTGGACATTTTCAGGATGAAGGTGGCGCAGCCTTTGTCACACGTCTGGGGCAAAAGAAAACAGAATTAAGGCTAGCCGGGGTTTCGCTGATGCTACAGGTGTTATTACTTCTCTCCACTCATAAAGTTTTTGACCAAGTTATTTTTTTTCTTTTTAAGATTGTTATTAAGATTTGATCCCATCAGAAAGTGGCGTAAATGACTTTTTTTGGCCTTCAAGCAACCTGCAATGCACAACATGGAGGTATGTGCGCTTCTCAATGGCTAGGAGCCCAACACCATTTCCCATGAAATCAGGCTGCTTAAGTGAGGAAATTGAGTATGATAAGGTTTTATGGAGTGGATTTTGTTCCAGTATTGTTTCAAACACATTTAGAAAATTGGAATTTGAAAAATAGAAAAAACATTTTGTAAACTGAAATAAAAAAATAAAAAAAAGGCTACCTAATAGGGGAACTGTTGAAAACATCTTGTTTGTAAAAAATAAAAAAAATAAAAATAAAAAAGGGTTTGAGGGTAAAGTTCTCTTTTTTTTATTTTTTTTCAAAGATTTTTTTTATTCTAGATTTTTTTTTTTTTTGGTTATTATAATCTATTTTTTCAAAGCTTTTTTTACATACTTTATATTTTAAAATTTTATATCTTTTATTTTTGTTTCTAGAATATGTTTTACGAATAGCATCCATTCAAATTGCATTTTACAGATTTACATATTCTCTTTACTTCAAGCTCAATTCCAACTCTATCACTTGACGCCCATATTGACCAATAAAAATGTTGCTAATGTTCATGTAGACCAATAGAAATTACTTCTTGCTCCTCACACTCCAGAAAAAAGCCCAGGAGGGAAGAGAATTTGACCAGCACCGCATAACTTGAAACAAAAACAATTAGTGAAATTCTTTAAATCTCTTTCATAAGAGATTGAAAAAAAGAAAATGTTAATTCTGTTAAATAAAGAAAACACAATCTATTTTTAATAAATAAATAAATAAATAGAATGAAATTAATTAGAAATGTGAAAAAATATAAATATAAAAAAAATTTGTTATAGTTACTCTAAAAAAACCTGTTATTGATTACATTTTTTCCAAAGTTTCATTTCTGGATTTTTCACTTTTGTTTTATATATATATATATATAAAATTATTGCTGGGTGGAGATCATATGGCTGCAGTTTTCAAACTAAATTGTATTTTGCTGTGGAAAACTGTAGTTTTATAAGGAGAAATACATCTGGATCTGAACACCTTCCTTAAAGAGAGATGTGGCGGTAACCATGGCGACCGTACCTGCTTTTGTCTGGTCTTGCACAGAGAAGTCAGGCTGACGTCATCCTTGAGGACAAGGGCCGAGCTGCAGGTGTCCTGGTTCCTCAGAGGCCTGCAGACCTTCACCGTGGCGTCTCCACCCGCCGGCCTTCCATAGTAATATCTGAAGGAAAAACATTACGGACATTAATCAGCATTTCGAACAGGATCTGACTCTGATCTGTTGGAGAGGAACTTCCTTTTTGCTGACTGAAGAATTTGACTCACTTTGTACAGACTTTAACCTGAAAGGTTTCCTTCCCAACACTTACTTCATGGGGTACGTGAATTTCAAATTTAAATTTGGTCGAACCTGGAAACAAATCATATGAGACAAATGCTTTATCACAAATAAATGACTTGCTGAACAAGAAGAAAGCAGCTTTGACTTACCATGTTTCTGGACTCTAAAGCTTTGAGACTCTATCTTTTTGCCTGATTGCACTTTAATCCTGTATAACCCCGCCACGGCTCCATCGCCCAAATGGTAAGACAGCGGTAGAATCGTCTTGTCCACTTCCTCATCTTTCCACTTCGCGATCTTGTTATGGTGAGGGTCCTGTTTCATCAAACAAACAGAAGGTAGATGATCAGTCAGTCCTGGATCTATCTGACGACTTTAATTAAGTGGTCTTGATTTCCATTTTTATCTATCTTGTCTCGCCAACATGGCTGTCATTAGGGTGACTAAAGTTTCCAGGTATCAACTGATGGTCAAAATGATAAATCCAGATAATAAACAGTTTCATACCTCGATCCAAATATGGTTATACTGAAAGAAGAGGAGAGAGGGTGGTCGTTAGGGAAACTTTAGGTGCATTTACAGGTTCAATTTAATTTCATTTAAAAACATGGAAATGCTTCGTTCATTTTATCATATATAGGGTTTCTGTGGCTCTTTCAGTTATTTCAAACCGTGGAATCAGAGGCGATCTTTCATCTGGGGGCTGAAAGCAGAGAGAATACTTACAGTCACGTGCAGCGGATCCAAGTCATGGTCCAGAGTCAGCGCTCTGAATTTCACTGAGAGGAACAGAGATTACAAGAAGGTTATGGAAACATTTGTCAAGACACACGTTTGGATGCATTTTTTCATTGACAAGTTCTTTTATATTTACAGATATTTACAATCAGATCTGAATGAAAAGAACATGGCTTCCTGTGACGGCCCCTGCTGTCGTCACAGCAGCTCAGCTCTGTTACCTTCCTCTCCTTGGTTGTAGATGTGTTTATCCGTTTGGATTAAAGTCTTTGGATGAAAAGACTTGATCAACACACGCGTTGCATCATAAGAATAAAAATCGTTGCCTTTTACTGTAACTTCAAACAGATGCTCCTCTTCTCCGTTCACATGAGGAACCTGGTGCAGGAAGACAGTTTCAGACCAAGAACAGGTTCTGTATGAAAACATCTACATGTTGGAATAAATGTGGGGAACTCACCTTAAATTTCACACATTTGTTGAAGGCGTTGCTGGTTCCTTTTTTAAACACTTCCTTTTGTTTATTCTTGCTCTTCAGAATGACCGTCACCAACACATGGGAGCCGGGATCCGTGAGGCTCACACAGAATGTATCCTTGGATTCAGATTTAAGAATGGCCGGAACGGTGACCAGGTAACTTCTAAAATCGGACAAAAAAAACACATGCAGGCTGTTAACTCTTTGGATCCAACATGGAGGACAGCAGCATCCTCATTCTTTAACTCTCACATCTACTCACACTGGACAAGGGGGATTGGTTTGGACCGTTATCTCAATCAGGAACATCGCACAAAGAAAGGAAAGGAGAACCCCCGCCTGAATCCCTGGATTAGCCATGACTGCCCTGGTCCCTCAGGGGCGGCAGCTGTTAAATAGGAGGCTGACAGGCCCGACTCCACCCTTCAACACCCATACGGCACACTCACACCACCTTATCTGACACATTACTCAGAAGCTTGGATGTAATGTGGAGCATGAACCACTTTTTAACTCCAATCTCAAATCCTATCAGCGATGCTTTTCTGCTTGACCTTCCAGAGCCAAAGCTCTGCCTTTCATCGATGTGTTCCCAGTCCTGAAAGCCCAACATCCACCAGACAGAATGAATTTCTCAGTAACTTGGAGCCAAACATTGGAGCTCCAATCGGCTCCAAATGCTAAATGTTAGTCCTGATGACAGGAATGATGAAACAAAGCTGCAAATGGAGAAAAAATCCTCTAAATTCATGTGTATGAAACCTGCTGACATGCTTTCTATAATCCCCTTAGCATAAGGAAGTTTGTTTGATTTATCAACCTGGTGAGCAACAATCAGCATCTGGGAGAGAAACGAACAATACAAAACTATCTGGGACACTATGAAATAAAACCAGGAGAGCTGTGACCCGATGCAGAGCAGACAGAATGTTTATCGCTCAGCAGGAAGACAAAAAAAACATCATGTTTTTATCTGCAGGAGTCGATACAGGAACGGGGAAAGCTTCAAGCATGTCAACAATGACCTCACAGAGCAGCAACAGGCCTAATCTCCGACTAAGCTTCATATCTGACCAAAGGGAACCGACGTGTTCATAGATGGAAGACCTTCTGATACGGATATCACTGAATCGTCCATTCAGAAAGTTCCTATTTTCTGGTAGAGATAAAAAAGGAAGCTTCTTCAGAGCAAAGGTGTCAGCTTAACAAGTTGTTCTCATCTGTGCCAAGCTTATCAGGGAACGAGAGCACAGATGACCTTGGGGAGGTTTGTGTCTCTATCTTATGCCCAACGCTGCAAGAACCGAGAGTTTTCACATTTGTTCCAAAACTAAAAATCCAAATAGGAAGGTTTAGGGTAGTTTAAGGTTGCATTTAGACTTCAGAAGCGTTTATTAAAGATTACTAAACAATCAGCTTTTCTGTGAAATATTAGGGAAAAACATGTTTGCTCTGATATAAACCATTTTTGTTCTTATTCTAAAATGTTGAATGTTCTGAGATATAACGAGTTTAATATATTCCTGCACATTAGGCCTGACCTGGTTTAGTTTGGGGGTTCATGCTCCACTTTCCTGCATCCTCATCTCTTCACTCCTGTGCAGAGGTGGGTAAAGTTCTAAAAAAAAACTGTACTGAAATAAGAGCAACACCATTTCATCGCATTTTTCACTTAAACAAGAGTAAAATGCATTTAATAAAAGGGCTACTTAAGTACTGAATAACTGTTTATAACATCTGATGTTTAAAATAATTTAACAAAAACAGACCAAAATGTAAATGTCCTGAGCTTTCTCTATAGTTATGCTGCTATAGGCTTAGACTGCTGGAGGACATAGGGACCC